TCCGGGCGCAATGAAGCAAGTTGGTTGGGTGGACATTCCGGTGATCTGCCGACGACAGCTCCGTCTCGCCACGACAGTTCCATTTGAGACTGATGCCACGACAAGCTTCGCGTCCATCTAGAGTCCAATCATTTAAGTCTTCGTAACTCCAATGTTTTTCCGAACGCGACCGGCCGACACCTGTCATTGAACACCGCCAACACCTGTCATTGAGACCCGCCAACACCTGTCATTGCGTCTCCGGCCTCAGCATGTCCCCATCATACATACATCTATTTATTGATCCTAAAAATAAAAATAGTTACTTGGAATAGTTTCCGCTCTACGTCATACTTTTTGGGGACTTGACGCCTCCATAACGCATAATATTTTTCTTGCACCTCCTCGCCTGTGAAAAATATTTCTTGGTGCATTTTCCTTTACAGAAGACAAGTGAGACAGAAGGAGAATGGAAGTTTAACCGCTTCAACCTTGAGACATTTCAGCGCTGAATATACATTGATGTTCACTGGGGGCTCCCCAACCGCTTGGGCTGGACGGTAGCGCGACGGTCTCGCTTCATGCTGGTCGGCGTTCAATCCCCGACCGTCCCAAGTGGTTGTGGGCACCATTCCTTCCCCCCGTCCCATCCCAAATTGTTATCCTGATCCCTTCCCAGTGTTATATAGTCGTAATGGCTTGGCGCTTTCTCATGAAAGTTCCCTTCCCCTCCCAAATCCCTACTGGAAGCTCCGGTACTGGAAGCTCTGGTACTGGAAGCTCTTGTACTGGAAGTTCTGGTACTGGAAGCTCCGGTACTGGAAGCTCCAGTACTGGAAGCTCCGGTACTGGAAGTTCTGGTACTGGAAGCTCTTGTACTGGAAGCTCCGGTACTGGAAGTTCTGGTACTGGAAGCTCTTGTACTGGAAGTTCTGGTACTGGAAGCTTTTGTACTGGAAGTTCTGGTACTGGAAGCTCTTGTACTGGAAGTTCTGGTACTGGAAGCTCCGGTACTGGAAGTTCTGGTACTGGAAGCTCTTGTACTGGAAGTTCTGGTACTGGAAGCTCCGGTACTGGAAGTTCTGGTACTGGAAGCTCTTGTACTGGAAGTTCTGGTACTGGAAGCTCCGGTACTGGAAGCTCCGGTACTGGAAGCTCCAGTACTGGAAGCTCTGGTACTGGAAGTTCTGGTACTGGAAGCTCTTGTACTGGAAGTTCTGGTACTGGAAGCTCCGGTACTGGAAGCTCCGGTACTGGAAGCTCCGGTACTGGAAGCTCCAGTACTGGAAGCTCCGGTACTGGAAGTTCTGGTACTGGAAGCTCTTGTACTGGAAGTTCTGGTACTGGAAGCTCCGGTACTGGAAGCTCCGGTACTGGAAGCTCCGGTACTGGAAGCTCCGGTACTGGAAGCTCCGGTACTGGAAACTCCAGTACTGGAAGCTCCGGTACTGGAAACTCCAGTACTGGAAGCTCCGGTACTGGAAGCTCTGGTACTGGAAGTTCTGGTACTGGAAGCTCTTGTACTGGAAGCTCCGGTACTGTAAGCTCCGGTACTGGAAGCTCCGGTACTGGAAACTCCAGTACTGGAAACTCCGGTACTGGAAGCTCTGGTACTGGAAGTTCTGGTACTGGAAGCTCTTGTACTGGAAGCTCCGGTACTGGAAACTCCAGTACTGGAAGCTCCGGTACTGGAAGCTCCGGTACTGGAAGCTCCGGTACACCCACCCAACACGGTGCGATGTCTTACAATTAATTTCGAATGAAAACAAAATAGTGTCTCAAAAGTTTCTTCATCTTGACCGTGTTCTTGGATCTTAATCTTGAATTTCTGCTCTTAACCGCATGTTTGACGTATCATTCCCCATACGGCCGAAAACTGCCGTACTATAAAAATCGTTGCGGCTCGGGAAATTGACGCGATGTCCCGTTTCCTGTTCGTGGGTCCTTGGGTTGGTTAGGTTCGGGCAATTTAGTGCATCATTTTAGGGCCGATGGGAACGCTTGGGAGAACGGGCTGCATGGGTGACCTCTTGCCGTTCCGGTGTGTCAGTTGATGACCTATGATGACCTGTGATGACCTGTGATGACCCCCGGTGTCGTGGTGACCTTGCCCAGGCCAGCTTGAACTGCTGTGATAATCAGCGACGCGAGGCGTAGTTCTTTCTTCTACCAGAATTAGGATTCTCGAGCTGAAAGGGACTAATCAACCGTATTGTTGCCGGCGAGAAATGAACGAGGTCTCTGCTTCAGGATTTTGTAAACACTTATAAACCTCAAAGGAATAAACGTCAAAACATCCATCGTATAAACGTCAAACCGTCAAACGTATTTTATCACAATAACAGCTATTATTTATAGCTGGTTCATATGTTGATTTACAATCAATCAGATTGCTATCAATCAATCAATCAATCAGACAACTTTAGTGGCCAGATTCGACAAGGAATTAGAATAGTTGTACCGTAGAGGGTAGAGCAAGGCTAGTAGGCGAGGCACAGGGAGCTAGACCCATACTTCCCCGTGGGCACCCATAGGTAACTTGTAGCGTGGTGGGGAGGTTGTTTGGGTTGGCTGGTGGTAGACACGTAGGGGGGGGGGGGTAAGGTGGTGGTGGGGGGAGGGGGAAGTAGAAGCACGGGATTAATTGTTTGACGTGGGTGGTGGTGGTGGTGGTTGGGGGGGGGATAGTCAGCTGAAGCTGTGAAGGGGAGATAAGGATACGTGTGACTTAGCTTGACTAGGGAGGGGGGAGGGGGGAGGGGGGCATGTGACGATATTAAGGGTGTAGTGGGGGGGGGGTGACTATTAGCCCCCCCACACCTTCATCCTCCACAAATACACTCTCCTTCCCCCTTCACACAACATAGTCGAGGCCTCCACAATACTGTTGGTGGGGTGTGGTCAATACTGTTGGTGAGGTGTGGTCAATACTGTTGGTGGGGTGTGGTCAATACTGTTGGTAGGGTGTGGTCAATACTGTTGGTGGGTGTGGTCAATACTGTTGGTGGGGTGTGGTCAACACTGTTGGTGGGGTGTGGTCAATACTGTTGGTGGGGTGTAGTCAATACTGTTGGTGGGGTGTGGTCAATACTGTTGGTAGGGTGTGGTCAACACTGTTGGTAGGGTGTGGTCAATACTGTTGGTGGGTGTGGTCAACACTGTTGGTGGGGTGTGGTCAATACTGTTGGTGGGGTGTGGTCAATACTGTTGGTGGGGTGTGGTCAATACTGTTGGTGGGGTGTGGTCAATACTGTTGGTGGGTGTGGTCAATACTGTTGGTGGGTGTGGTCAATACTGTCGGTGGGGTGTGGTCAATACTGTCGGTGGGGTGTGGTCAATACTGTTGGTGGGGTGTGGTCAATACTGTTGGTGGGGTGTGGTCAATACTGTTGGTGAGGTGTGGTCAATACTGTTGGTGGGGTGTGGTCAATACTGTTGGTGGGTGTGGTCAATACTGTTGGTGGGTGTGGTCAATACTGTTGGTGGGGTGTGGTCAATACTGTTGGTGGGGTGTGGTCAATACTGTTGGTGGGTGTGGTCAATACTGTTGGTGGGTGTGGTCAATACTGTCGGTGGGGTGTGGTCAATACTGTCGGTGGGGTGTGGTCAATACTGTTGGTGGGGTGTGGTCAATACTGTTGGTGGGGTGTGGTCAATACTGTTGGTGAGGTGTGGTCAATACTGTTGGTGGGGTGTGGTCAATACTGTTGGTGGGTGTGGTCAATACTGTTGGTGGGTGTGGTCAATACTGTCGGTGGGGTGTGGTCAATACTGTTGGTGGGGTGTGGTCAATACTGTTGGTGGGGTGTGGTCAATACTGTTGGTGGGGTGTGGTCAATACTGTTGGTGGGTGTGGTCAATACTGTTGGTGGGGTGTGGTCAATACTGTTGGTGGGTGTGGTCAATACTGTTGGTGGGTGTGGTCAATACTGTCGGTGGGGTGTGGTCAATACTGTTGGTGGGGTGTGGTCAATACTGTTGGTGGGGTGTGGTCAATACTGTTGGTGGGGTGTGGTCAATACTGTTGGTGGGGTGTGGTCAATACTGTTGGTGGGGTGTGGTATTGTGTGTCTGTGTTGTGGTGAAACTATGTGAAAGAAAGGTTTTGTCTTTGAATTTATAGAAAGAGAATAGAATAGAATACTTCTTGAATGATTATATTTTGCTCTTGCACTGTCGAGTCAGTTGATGTAAAGGTTAGGTTGATGACATCAATTAATGATAATTATGAAGATGTAATGATTTCGCTTTTGTAGAGACGTCAAGGTCTTGCAGCTGCAGAAGATTCAGTGGCAGGAGATGATGAAGTAGTTTGTGTACCAGGAACAGGAGACTAAGGTTTCCCAACGTCAAAGAAACGGTCAATTTAAAGTGGTCTCTCCTAACCTACCAGAGGACCCCCCAAAACAGAAAACGGGACAGTACGACACTTTCGCCAGCCGCTTCCATTTTCTAGTACGACAATTTTTGGCCTTAGGTAACGCATACGAGCGAAATGCCACGTTCTTTGCAGGACAGGTTGCGATAGTTGGTGTTGCAGGAGCAAGTGCAGGGCAAGGAGGCGCTGTCTGCGGTGTTGCAGGATCATGAGGCGCAACGGTGAGTGTTGCAGGAGGAGCGGTTGCTGTTGCAGGAGGTACCGTAGGTTGTGTTGTAGGAGCACAATGTAGATCCTTTGGAACCGTTACAGGTGACAATCCGTTAATTAACAGCCCGTTAATTATCTGACTCAACAGGTTAACAGAAGCGGCAACACTGTCGGTAGGGCGGAGTAGTACAAGACCTGTACTATTTTCTGCTGAAGTTGGTGGCAACGTCGGTGGTCGAGGGTGTGGTCGAGCAGGACCTACCTACCCGAGCATTTGGCTGTGATGTGTGAGAAAGAGAAGTGTGGAAGTATTTCCCGCCAAGGCGGGGGGCCTGCAGCAGCCTGGGTGACAAATATGGCATTCGATCAAGGTGTCGGGCTGGTGGTTGAAGATGCCTGTCATACCTCAGAAATTTTCTTCATTTCCGCCTGAATGGACACTCAGGTGAAATGGCTTAGGGCGCTCCGTCACACACAGGAGGAGAGGTTTCTTGCAAGCCTGCCAGTCCCGGAGGTTGCGCTCTTGCGAGCAGATGCTGCATCTTACAGTCTCAAGTGTGCTCTTACGAGTGTAATGATCGTACTGGAATCACTCTGAGCGGAAAGTGGCTCGTGGATGAGATCCCGCAGCATCTGAATCCATTCTCAGCAGCTTCAGGCGGAGAGTTGAACGCCAACTTCAGAGTCGGGCGTTGATTGGCTGCTTTAAACCCCGAGTGTTGCTGACACATCATCAAGTCTGTGTGTTGATGCTGTCAACACCGCCAGAAATAGCGGTCTTGCCTAACGAAGATGGTCCTCACAGTCTGATACTGTCGTAGTGGAATTAGCACCAGATTGGCTTCTTCTAGTGGTCTCAATGGCAGGTTTCAACACTCCCTGAAGAGCCTGTGCGTTGGAGACGAGGAGTTCGACTCCGCTGCCATCTTGAACGCTGCTGATTGGTGGAGGTTGTTCCTCCTGCGGAACTAGCCGCTTCCCCGGAACTTTTCTCTTGTGAATCAGAGCACATATGCGTAAGAGCCAGAACGAGGGCACGAGCCAGAGGAGTCAACTGTGACGGCCTCAACGTCCCGGAGTAGCGATGGAAGAGGATTCTCTCGATGTAGGATTCTCCCGCGCGCTATCCAGTGCTCTTCACTGTGCCTCCAGAGTATAGTTAAGAACCACTGAGAGTGCTGGCCAGGGTACCGTCACCCAGGGTACCGTCCACTTGGGGAGGACGGTAGAGCGACGGTCTCACTTCTTGTAGGTCGGCGTTCAATCCCCGACCATTCCAAGTGGTTAGGCACCGTTCTTTACCCCCCCCCCTCGTCCCATCCCAAATCCTTATCCTGATTCCTTCCCAGTGCTATATAGTCGTAATGGCTTGGCGCTTTCCCCTGATAATCCCCTCCCTCCCTCCAAGGGGTAACAATGGAGTACATTCAGTGGCCACGAACCTGATGAATCCCAAAAGATCTCACTATTGTATTTTATACATCGTGAATTCATTTTAAACAAATAAATCAGTAACCCTGGAACATTAACAATGCTGAATGTATTAGTGTTTACTTTGTCAACTTAATAATTAAAAATTAATTAATATGAAACGCACTGGCTCAATTTTTACGACATTGTGGTAACAAACTAATAATTAAATATGCATACTAATATAATTGATAAACACCGGTCAAATTATTATATTAATTATACCACCAACTGCCCTCATACTCACTCTCAATACTTATAACTACAAAACTCTTTACAATAATTATATATAACTTAAACTACACTTTGGACCTAACGTATAGTTTTAGCAACAAATGATTATACCAATGAATGATTGTACTAACGTATAATTATACCAATAAATGGTTGTACTAACGTATAATTATACCAATGATTGATTGTACTAACGTATAATTATACCAATAAATGATTGTACTAACGTATAATTATACCAATAAATGATTGTACTAACGGATGATTATACCAATGATTGATTGTACTAACGGATGACTATACCAATGAATTATTGTACTAATGCATGATTATACCAATGAATGATTGTACTAACAGATGATTATACCAATGATTGATTGTACTAACGGATGACTATACGAATGAGTGATTTTACTATTACAGGATTATACCAATGAATGATTGTACTAATGCATGATTATACCAATGAATGATTGTACTAACGGATGATTAAACCAATGAGTGAGTGTACTAACGGATGATTATACCAATAAGTGATTGTACTAACAGATAACACCAATGAATGATTGTACTAACGGATAATTTTACCAATGAACGATTGTACGAACGCATTATTTTACCAACGATCAATAATGAGTGTGTTAACAACGAGAGCGTTGCCTTCATGGGCTCCACGACCTACTGACTGCCAGGGTTTATGTCTTCATTACGGGGCTCGAACCTGGCTTTACTACAAACACAAAATTTAATTTTGATTTATTACCCTCCAATAAGACCTATTTCTCAGCTACATTTTGGGGCTTTACTTGAAGGATATTGTTTCTTTTACAGTTTGTGATGACTTATTGTTTATCCTGTGTAGTGGACATGCCCCAGCACCTGTGTAGTGGACATACCCCAGCACCTGTGTAGTGGACATGCCCCAGCACCTGTGTAGTGGACATGCCCCAGCACCTGTGTAGTGGACATGCCCCAGCACCTGTGTAGTGGACATGCCCCAGCACCTGTGTAGTGGACATACCCCAGCACCTGTGTAGTGGACATGCCCCAGCACCTGTGTAGTGGACATGCCCCAGCACCTGTGTAGTGGACATACCCCAGCACCTGTGTAGTGGACATGCCCCAGCACCTGTGTAGTGGACATGCCCCAGCACCTGTGTAGTGGACATACCCCAGCACCTGTGTAGTGGACATACCCCAGCACCTGTGTAGTGGACATGCCCCAGCACCTGTGTAGTGGACATACCCCAGCACCTGTGTAGTGGACATGCCCCAGCACCTGTGTAGTGGACATACCCCAGCACCTGTGTAGTGGACATGCCCCAGCACCTGTGTAGTGGACACGCCCCAGCACCTGTGTAGTGGACATACCCCAGCACCTGTGGAGCAGGACATACCCCAGCACCTGTGTAGTGGACATGCCCCAGCACCTGTGTAGTGGACATGCCCCAGCACCTGTGTAGTGGACATGCCCCAGCACCTGTGTAGTGGACACACCCCAGCACCTGTGTAGTGGACATACCCCAGCACCTGTGTAGTGGACATGCCCCAGCACCTGTGTAGTGGACACACCCCAGCACCTGTGTAGTGGACATACCCCAGCACCTGTGTAGTGGACATGCCCCAGCACCTGTGTAGTGGACACACCCCAGCACCTGTGTAGTGGACATACCCCAGCACCTGTGTACTGGACATGCCCCAGCACCTGTGTAGTGGACATACCCCAGCACCTGTGTAGTGGACATGCCCCAGCACCTGTGTAGTGGACATGCCCCAGCACCTGTGTAGTGGACATACCCCAGCACCTGTGTAGTGGACATACCCCAGAACCTGTGTAGTGGACATGCCCCAGCACCTGTGTAGTGGACATGCCCCAGCACCAGTGTAGTGGACATGCCCCAGCACCTGTGTAGTGGATATACCCAGCACCTGTGTAGTGGACATACCCCAGCACTTGTGTAGTGGACATACCCAGCCCCTGTGTAGTGGACATGCCCCAGCACCTGTGTAGTGGACATACCCCAGCACCTGTGTAGTGGACACACCCCAGCACCTGTGTAGTGGACACACCCCAGCACCTGTGTAGTGGACATACCCCAGCACCTGTGTAGTGGACATACCCCAGCACCTGTGTAGTGGACATGCCCCAGCACCTGTGTAGTGGACATACCCCAGCACCTGTGTAGTGGACATGCCCCAGCACCTGTGTAGTGGACATACCCCAGCACCTGTGTAGTGGACATACCCCAGCACCTGTGTAGTGGACATACCCCAGCACCTGTGGAGCAGGACATACCCCAGCACCTGTGTAGTGGACATGCCCCAGCACCTGTGTAGTGGACATACCCCAGCACCTGTGTAATGGACATACCCAGCACCTGTGTAGTGGACATACCCCAGCACCTGTGGAGCAGGACATACCCCAGCACCTGTGTAGTGGACATACCTCAGCACCTGTGGAGCAGGACATACCCCAGCACCTGTGTAGTGGACATGCCCCAGCACCTGTGTAGTGGACATACCCCAGCACCTGTGTAGTGGACATACCCCAGTACCTGTGGAGCAGGACATACCCCAGCACCTGTGTAGTGGACATGCCCCAGCACCTGTGTAGTGGACATACCCCAGCACCTGTGTAGTGGACATACCCCAGCACCTGTGTAGTGGACATACCCCAGCACCTGTGGAGCAGGACATACCCCAGCACCTGTGTAGTGGACATGCCCAAGCACCTGTGTAGTGGACATACCCCAGCACCTGTGTAGTGGACATACCCCAGCACCTGTGTAGTGGACACACCCAGCACCTGTGTAGTGGACATACCCCAGCACCTGTGTAGTGGACACACCCAGCACCTGTGTAGTGGACATACCCCAACACCTGTGTAGTGGACATGCCCCAGCACCTGTGTAGTGGACATACCCCAGCACCTGTGTAGTGGACATACCCCAGCACCTGTGTAGTGGACATACCCCAGCACCTGTGTAGTGGACATACCCCAGCACCTGTGTAGTGGACATACCCCAGCACCTGTGTAGTGGACATACCCCAGCACCTGTGGAGCAAGATAGACCCTAACACCTGTTAAATCTTAGTGTGCTTCTTGCCGGATACATCCGGCCTCAGTAACCCGAGACTTCACCAGCATCTTTTCAATTATAACTTTTGAACGCAGAATTACTTTTGAGATTGCGTGAAGTTCATGGTGACCTGTGTCGCGTTCAGAAGCAATAACCGCTTCCCTTCACTGTTAACGCTTGCAATGTTGCAATGATTCACTACTTGCATGTTCCCTCTACTACCCATATTACTTCTGCTGGGGCGAAAAAAATCAACATCCAGTTTCATTTCTGTCTATATTGGAATCCGTATAAACTCATTGTTTTCATTTTAACTTTTTTTGGTCGATTCCCGAGAGAATGAAAAAATAATTATGTGCGTGTGTAAAATTGTTGACTGAGGTGTTTGGGCTAACTTTTAATTTGCATTTTCCTTTTTTATGTGCTCATACGTTTTTGAAGTCGGATTTCAGCTCCTGAATCCCGTTTTTTTCATGACAATGCTTCCCGACTCCGCTGCTGGCTGCTCATAACATCTGCTTTAACAAGTATGGATGGAACGCATTATATTTTTCAATTTTAGTTCATTTCAGTGACCGCCCTTACGCTGAGGAAATGTTTATCACCATTCTTATGCCCAACATATCACGGCAGGATATACCTCGGCCCCCACAACCAACATATCACCGTGGCAGGATATACCTCAGCCCCCACAACCAACATATCATCGTGGCAGGATATACCTCAGCCCCCACAACCAACATATCATCGTGGCAGGATATACCTCGGCCCCCACAACCAACATATCATCGTGGCAGGATATACCTCAGCCCCACAACCAACATATCATCGTGGCAGGATATACCTCAACCCCACAACCAACATATCATCGTGGCAGGATATACCTCAACCCCACAACCAACATATCATCGTGGCAGGATATACCTCAGCCCCACAACCAACATATCATCGTGGCAGGATATACCTCAGCCCCCACAACCAACATATCATCGTGGCAGGATATACCTCAACCCCCACAACCAACATATCATCGTGGCAGGATATACCTCAGCCCCCACAACCAACATATCATCGTGGCAGGATATACCTCAGCCCCCACAACCAACATATCACCGTGGCAGGATATACCTCAGCCCCCACAACCAACATATCATCGTGGCAGGATATACCTCAGCCCCCACAACCAACATATCACCGTGGCAGGATATACCTCAGGCCCCACAACCAACATATCACCGTGGCAGGATATACCTCAGCCCCCACAACCAACATATCATCGTGGCAGGATATACCTCAGGCCCCACAACCAACATATCATCGTGGCAGGATATACCTCAGGCCCCACAACCAACATATCACCGTGGCAGGATATACCTCAGCCCCCACAACCAACATATCATCGTGGCAGGATATACCTCAGCCCCCACAACCAACATATCACCGTGGCAGGATATACCTCAGCCCCCACAACCAACATATCATCGTGGCAGGATATACCTCAGCCCCCACAACCAACATATCATCGTGGCAGGATATACCTCAGCCCCCACAACCAACATATCACCGTGGCAGGATATACCTCAGCCCCCACAACCAACATATCATCGTGGCAGGATATACCTCAGCCCCCACAACCAACATATCATCGTGGCAGGATATACCTCAGCCCCCACAACCAACATATCACCGTGGCAGGATATACCTCAGCCCCCACAACCAACATATCATCGTGGCAGGATATACCTCAGGCCCCACAACCAACATATCATCGTGGCAGGATATACCTCAGCCCCACAACCAACATATCATCGTGGCAGGATATACCTCAGCCCCCACAACCAACATATCATCGTGGCAGGATATACCTCAGCCCCACAACCAACATATCATCGTGGCAGGATATACCTCAGCCCCCACAACCAACATATCACCGTGGCAGGATATACCTCAGCCCCCACAACCAACATATCATCGTGGCAGGATATACCTCAGCCCCCACAACCAACATATCATCGTGGCAGGATATACCTCAGCCCCCACAACAAACATATCATCGTGGCAGGATATACCTCAGCCCCCACAACCAACATATCACCGTGGCAGGATATACCTCAGCCCCCACAACCAACATATCATCGTGGCAGGATATACCTCAGCCCCCACAACCAACATATCATCGTGGCAGGATATACCTCAGCCCCCACAACCAACATATCACCGTGGCTGGATATACCTCAGCCCCCACAACCAAGATATCATCGTGGCAGGATATACCTCAGCCCCCACAACCAACATATCATCGTGGCAGGATATACCTCAACCCCCACAACCAACATATCATCGTGGCAGGATATACCTCAGCCCCCACAACCAACATATCATCGTGGCAGGATATACCTCAGCCCCCACAACCAACATATCACCGTGGCAGGATATACCTCAGCCCCCACAACCAACATATCATCGTGGCAGGATATACCTCAGCCCCCACAACCAACATATCACCGTGGCAGGATATACCTCAGGCCCCACAACCAACATATCACCGTGGCAGGATATACCTCAGCCCCCACAACCAACATATCATCGTGGCAGGATATACCTCAGGCCCCACAACCAACATATCATCGTGGCAGGATATACCTCAGGCCCCACAACCAACATATCACCGTGGCAGGATATACCTCAGCCCCCACAACCAACATATCATCGTGGCAGGATATACCTCAGCCCCCACAACCAACATATCACCGTGGCAGGATATACCTCAGCCCCCACAACCAACATATCATCGTGGCAGGATATACCTCAGCCCCCACAACCAACATATCAACGTGGCAGGATATACCTCAGCCCCCACAACCAACATATCACCGTGGCAGGATATACCTCAGCCCCCACAACCAACATATCATCGTGGCAGGATATACCTCAGCCCCCACAACCAACATATCATCGTGGCAGGATATACCTCAGCCCCCACAACCAACATATCACCGTGGCAGGATATACCTCAGCCCCCACAACCAACATATCATCGTGGCAGGATATACCTCAGGCCCCACAACCAACATATCATCGTGGCAGGATATACCTCAGCCCCACAACCAACATATCATCGTGGCAGGATATACCTCAGCCCCCACAACCAACATATCATCGTGGCAGGATATACCTCAGCCCCACAACCAACATATCATCGTGGCAGGATATACCTCAGCCCCCACAACCAACATATCACCGTGGCAGGATATACCTCAGCCCCCACAACCAACATATCATCGTGGCAGGATATACCTCAGCCGCCACAACCAACATATCATCGTGGCAGGATATACCTCAGCCCCCACAACAAACATATCATCGTGGCAGGATATACCTCAGCCCCCACAACCAACATATCACCGTGGCAGGATATACCTCAGCCCCCACAACCAACATATCATCGTGGCAGGATATACCTCAGCCCCCACAACCAACATATCATCGTGGCAGGATATACCTCAGCCCCCACAACCAACATATCACCGTGGCAGGATATACCTCAGCCCCCACAACCAACATATCATCGTGGCAGGATATACCTCAGCCCCCACAACCAACATATCATCGTGGCAGGATATACCTCAGCCCCCACAACCAACATATCACGGCAGGATATACCTCAACCCCCACAACCAACATATCATCGTGGCAGGATATACCTCAACCCCCACAACCAACATATCATCGTGGCAGGATATACCTCAGCCCCACAACCAACATATCATCGTGGCAGGATATACCTCAACCCCCACAACCAACATATCATCGTGGCAGGATATACCTCAACCCCCACAACCAACATATCATCGTGGCAGGATATACCTCAGCCCCCACAACCAACATATCATCGTGGCAGGATATACCTCAGCCCCCACAACCAACATATCATCGTGGCAGGATATACCTCAGCCCCACAACCAACATATCACGGCAGGATATACCTCAACCCCACAACCAACATATCATCGTGGCAGGATATACCTCAACCCCCACAACCAACATATCACGGCAGGATATACCTCAACCCCCACAACCAACATATCATCGTGGCAGGATATACCTCAGCCCCCACAACCAACATATCACGGCAGGATATACCTCAGCCCCCACAACCAACATATCACGGCAGGATATACCTCAACCCCCACAACCAACATATCACGGCAGGATATACCTCAGCCCCACAACCAACATATCAAGGCAGGATATAATTCTAATGCTATAAAAGTCTTAGACATAAGCCATTGAGATGTGAGAGACACGTGTGATTGAGCACTGAGTGGGGGGGGGGACCCCGGTGTTTGCCCTCACTATGGGAGGGGAAATTACTGGTCACGCGGGCGTTCACACTCCCCCGAGGGGAGACGTCTCTATAGCAGAACTGGCGGCCACACTTGGCTTGGTGGAGGTGTGTGTTCCCTGCACCAGCTGTCCACACCCAGCTGTAACTTGGAAGAGGTTTCAGGCCCGGTTTAACGAGGGCAACCTCCAGGGGTCGGTTTAACGAGGGCAACCTCCAGGGGCCGCTTTAACGAGGGGAAGGCTCCAGGGGCCGGTTTAACGAGGGGAAGGAGGCTCCAGGGGGCCGGTTTAACGAGGAGAACCTCCAGGGGCCGGTTTAACGAGGGGAAGGGAGGCTACAGGGACCGGTTTAACGAGGGAAGGGAGGCTCCAGGGGACCGGTTTAACGAGGGGAACTTCCAGGGGCCGGTTTAACGAGGGGAAGGCTCCAGGGGCTGGTTTAACGAGGGGAAGGAAGGCTCCAGGGGCCGATTTAACGAGGGAAGGGAGGCTCCAGGGGACCGGTTTAACGAGGGGAACCTCCAGGGGCCGGTTTAACGAGGGGAAGGGAGGCTACAGGGACCGGTTTAACGATTGGAAGGTAAGCTTCAGGGGCCGGTTGAACGAAGGGAAGGGAGACTTCAAGGACTAGTTTAGACAGGGTAGGGGGCTGGGAGGAGAGTTCCTAGAGACCAGTTTAATGAGGGGGGAGCACCCCCCCCTTCCCTCTAGTTAAACCACCGGTTATACATGTGTATACTAAAGCATACACATGTATGAAAGGGTATAACAAAGCAAGATATTATTCAGGTGATTACGGAGTAAGAAAACAGTAAAGAATACAAATTGGCTGAGTTTAGATTTACGAAAGACCTGGGTAAATATTGGTTTGGACACACGGCTGTTGATTTATGGAGCAAATTACCGGCCAGCATAACAGAGGGAGAGGAGGGAGAGAGAGAGAGGAAAAGAGGAGATAGAGAAAGAGAAAGGAAGAGTGAGTTTGTTTGCTATAAGCTTCACTAATACTCCCTCATCCTCCAGGACAAGCTCCACTAACACCCTCCACATCAAGGCAGAAGCAGCCTTATACCACCCAGGTATACAGCCACCCCTCCCCCCCTCCCTCCCCCTCGGAGCTATACCTCGAGCGAGGCCCAGAGCAACAACATGGAGGAGGAGCAGCAACAGATACCTCTCAAGGTTCACTCATTTAACTCATTTACAATAATTACAGGTGTTGAGCCCGGGAACACCTGTTTCTTCTCGACCAAAACAAAAACAAATTTTCGATGATGGCAGAACAATTTTACGCACCTGTTGAAGCTGTGTTTTCCCCTTCTGTTGCTTGTGCTGTTGGTGTTGCTGGTGTTGCTGGTGTTGCTGGTGTTGCTTATGTTTCTAAATGTGGGCGTTGGGTGAAGATAAGGGGTATCAGGGAGAAGAGAGATAAGGGGTATGAAGGAGAGGACATGAGAGTCAGGGAAAAAACCGATACTTCAGATACAGGGTCAAGAGTCACAAAATATTGTTCCTTCAAGGCCGTAGAGTTGAGCGCGTGAAGCTGGAACAAATTTATTGGATATCCGGTGGCGGTGACATTGGTGCTCCACCCTCGAGGGCTGACTGGTGCTCCACCCTCGAGGCCTGGCTGGTGCTCCACCCTCGAGGCCTGGCTGGTGCTCCACCCTCCAGGCCTGGCTGGTGCTCCACCCTCCAGGCCTGGCTGGTGCTCCACCCTCGAGGGCTGACTGGTGCTCCACCCTCGAGGCCTGGCTGGTGCTCCACCCTCGAGGCCTGGCTGGTGCTCCACCCTCGAGGCCTGGCTGGTGCTCCACCCTCCAGGCCTGGCTGGTGCTCCACCCTCGAGGCCTGGCTGGTGCTCCACCCTCCAGGGCTGGCTGGTGCTCCACCCTCCAGGGCTGGCTGGTGCTCCACCCTCGAGGCCTGGCTGGTGCTCCACCCTCGAGGCCTGGCTGGTGCTCCACCCTCCAGGCCCGGCTGGTGCTCCACCCTCCAGGCCTGGCTGGTGCTCCACCCTCGAGGCCTGGCTGGTGCTCCACCCTCGAGGCCTGGCTGGTGCTCCACCCTCGAGGCCTGGCTGGTGCTCCACCCTCCAGGGCTGGCTGGTGCTCCACCCTCCAGGGCTGGCTGGTGCTCCACCCTCGAGGCCTGGCTGGTGCTCCACCCTCGAGGCCTGGCTGGTGCTCCACCCTCGAGGCCTGGCTGGTGCTCCACCCTCGAGGCCTGGCTGGTGCTCCACCCTCCAGGGCTGGCTGGTGCTCCACCCTCCAGGCCTGGCTGGTGCTCCACCCTCCAGGCCTGACTGGTGCTCCACCCTCGAGGCCTGGCTGGTGCTCCACCCTCCAGGCCCGGCTGGTGCTCCACCCTCCAGGCCTGGCTGGTGCTCCACCCTCGAGGCCTGGCTGGTGCTCCACCCTCCAGGCCTGGCTGGTGCTCCACCCTCCAGGCCTGGCTGGTGCTCCACCCTCGAGGCCTGGCTGGTGCTCCACCCTCGAGGCCTGGCTGGTGCTCCACCCTCGAGGCCTGGCTGGTGCTCCACCCTCGAGGCCTGACTGGTGCTCCACCCTCCAGGCCTGGCTGGTGCTCCACCCTCCAGGCCCGGCTGGTGCTCCACCCTCCAGGCCCGGCTGGTGCTCCACCCTCCAGGCCTGGCTGGTGCTCCACCCTCCAGGCCTGGCTGGTGCTCCACCCTCCAGGCCCGGCTGGTGCTCCACCCTCCAGGCCTGGCTGGTGCTCCACCCTCCAGGCCTGGCTGGTGCTCCACCCTCCAGGCCTGTCTGGTGCTCCACCCTCGAGGCCTGGCTGGTGCTCCACCCTCCAGGCCCGGCTGGTGCTCCACCCTCCAGGCCCGGCTGGTGCTCCACCCTCCAGGCCTGGCTGGTGCTCCACCCTCGAGGCCTGGCTGGTGCTCCACCCTCGAGGCCTGGCTGGTGCTCCACCCTCGAGGCCTGGCTGGTGCTCCACCCTCCAGGGCTGGCTGGTGCTCCACCCTCCAGGGCTGGCTGGTGCTCCACCCTCGAGGCCTGGCTGGTGCTCCACCCTCGAGGCCTGGCTGGTGCTCCACCCTCGAGGCCTGGCTGGTGCTCCACCCTCGAGGCCTGGCTGGTGCTCCACCCTCCAGGGCTGGCTGGTGCTCCACCCTCCAGGCCTGGCTGGTGCTCCACCCTCCAGGCCTGACTGGTGCTCCACCCTCGAGGCCTGGCTGGTGCTCCACCCTCCAGGCCCGGCTGGTGCTCCACCCTCCAGGCCTGGCTGGTGCTCCACCCTCCAGGCCTGGCTGGTGCTCCACCCTCCAGGCCTGGCTGGTGCTCCACCCTCCAGGCCTGGCTGGTGCTCCACCCTCGAGGCCTGGCTGGTGCTCCACCCTCGAGGCCTGGCTGGTGCTCCACCCTCGAGGCCTGGCTGGTGCTCCACCCTCGAGGCCTGACTGGTGCTCCACCCTCCAGGCCCGGCTGGTGCTCCACCCTCCAGGCCTGGCTGGTGCTCCACCCTCCAGGCCTGGCTGGTGCTCCACCCTCCAGGCCTGGCTGGTGCTCCACCCTCCAGGCCTGGCTGGTGCTCCACCCTCGAGGCCTGGCTGGTGCTCCACCCTCGAGGCCTGGCTGGTGCTCCACCCTCGAGGCCTGGCTGGTGCTCCACCCTCGAGGCCTGACTGGTGCTCCACCCTCCAGGCCTGGCTGGTGCTCCACCCTCCAGGCCCGGCTGGTGCTCCACCCTCCAGGCCCGGCTGGTGCTCCACCCTCCAGGCCTGGCTGGTGCTCCACCCTCCAGGCCTGGCTGGTGCTCCACCCTCCAGGCCCGGCTGGTGCTCCACCCTCCAGGCCTGGCTGGTGCTCCACCCTCCAGGCCTGGCTGGTGCTCCACCCTCCAGGCCTGACTGGTGCTCCACCCTCGAGGCCTGGCTGGTGCTCCACCCTCCAGGCCCGGCTGGTGCTCCACCCTCCAGGCCCGGCTGGTGCTCCACCCTCCAGGCCTGGCTGGTGCTCCACCCTCGAGGCCTGGCTGGTGCTCCACCCTCGAGGCCTGGCTGGTGCTCCACCCTCGAGGCCTGGCTGGTGCTCCACCCTCCAGGGCTGGCTGGTGCTCCACCCTCCATGGCTGGCTGGTGCTCCACCCTCGAGGCCTGGCTGGTGCTCCACCCTCGAGGCCTGGCTGGTGCTCCACCCTCGAGGCCTGGCTGGTGCTCCACCCTCGAGGCCTGGCTGGTGCTCCACCCTCCAGGGCTGGCTGGTGCTCCACCCTCCAGGCCTGGCTGGTGCTCCACCCTCCAGGCCTGACTGGTGCTCCACCCTCGAGGCCTGGCTGGTGCTCCACCCTCCAGGCCCGGCTGGTGCTCCACCCTCCAGGCCTGGCTGGTGCTCCACCCTCCAGGCCTGGCTGGTGCTCCACCCTCCAGGCCTGGCTGGTGCTCCACCCTCCAGGCCTGGCTGGTGCTCCACCCTCGAGGCCTGGCTGGTGCTCCACCCTCGAGGCCTGGCTGGTGCTCCACCCTCGAGGCCTGGCTGGTGCTCCACCCTCGAGGCCTGACTGGTGCTCCACCCTCCAGGCCTGGCTGGTGCTCCACCCTCCAGGCCCGGCTGGTGCTCCACCCTCCAGGCCCGGCTGGTGCTCCACCCTCCAGGCCCGGCTGGTGCTCCACCCTCCAGGCCTGGCTGGTGCTCCACCCTCCAGGCCTGGCTGGTGCTCCACCCTCCAGGCCTGACTGGTGCTCCACCCTCGAGGCCTGGCTGGTGCTCCACCCTCCAGGCCCGGCTGGTGCTCCACCCTCCAGGCCTGGCTGGTGCTCCACCCTCCAGGCCCGGCTGGTGCTCCACCCTCCAGGCCTGGCTGGTGCTCCACCCTCCAGGCCCGGCTGGTGCTCCACCCTCGAGGCCTGGCTGGTGCTCCACCCTCGAGGCCTGGCTGGTGCTCCACCCTCGAGGCCTGGCTGGTGCTCCACCCTCGAGGCCTGGCTGGTGCTCCACCCTCGAGGCCTGGCTGGTGCTCCACCCTCCAGGCCTGGCTGGTGCTCCACCCTCCAGGCCCGGCTGGTGCTCCACCCTCCAGGCCCGGCTGGTGCTCCACCCTCCAGGCCTGGCTGGTGCTCCACCCTCCAGGCCTGGCTGGTGCTCCACCCTCGAGGCCTGGCTGGTGCTCCACCCTCGAGGCCTGGCTGGTGCTCCACCCTCGAGGCCTGGCTGGTGCTCCACCCTCGAGGCCTGACTGGTGCTCCACCCTCGAGGCCTGGCTGGTGCTCCACCCTCCAGGCCCGGCTGGTGCTCCACCCTCCAGGCCTGGCTGGTGCTCCACCCTCCAGGCCTGACTGGTGCTCCACCCTCGAGGCCTGGCTGGTGCTCCACCCTCCAGGCCTGGCTGGTGCTCCACCCTCCAGGGCTTGCTGGTGCTCCACCCTCGAGGCCTGGCTGGTGCTCCACCCTCCAGGCCTGGCTGGTGCTCCACCCTCCAGGGCTGGCTGGTGCTCCACCCTCGAGGCCTGGCTGGTGCTCCACCCTCGAGGCCTGGCTGGTGCTCCACCCTCCAGGCCCGGCTGGTGCTCCACCCTCCAGGCCCGGCTGGTGCTCCACCCTCCAGGCCTGGCTGGTGCTCCACCCTCCAGGCCTGGCTGGTGCTCCACCCTCGAGGCCTGGCTGGTGCTCCACCCTCGAGGCCTGGCTGGTGCTCCACCCTCGAGGCCTGGCTGGTGCTCCACCCTCGAGGCTTGACTGGTGCTCCACCCTCGAGGCCTGGCTGGTGCTCCACCCTCCAGGCCTGGCTGGTGCTCCACCCTCCAGGGCTTGCTGGTGCTCCACCCTCGAGGCCTGGCTGGTGCTCCACCCTCCAGGCCTGGCTGGTGCTCCACCCTCCAGGGCTGGGTGGTGCTCCACCCTCGAGGCCTGGCTGGTGCTCCACCCTCGAGGCCTGGCTGGTGCTCCACCCTCCAGGGCCGGCTGGTGATCCACCCTCGAGGCCTGGCTGGTGCTCCACCCTCGAGGCCTGGCTGGTGCTCCACCCTCGAGGGCTGGCTGGTGCTCCACCCTCGAGGCCTGGCTGGTGCTCCACCCTCCAGGGCCGGCTGGTGCTCCACCCTCGAGGGCTGACTGGTGCTCCACCTTCGAGAGAGACGCGGAAGATCCTCAAACATTTTCTCCAGAATTTGTCTTCCATTTCACTTCGCTTAAATCATTAATGTTCGCTCTGGTGATTTTAACTCTCACTGGTGCGTGCGTTCATTTTGGTTTTGAACACACACTTCAGCGTCTCTTTCTTGATGCTCTTCCCTCCTCTCACACTTCTCCTTTACGCACGCACACGCACTCACAT